GACATTCCTCCAGCCCCCTAGAAGGTGTTTGCAGGATGAGCTGCCTGTGGCTGCTCTCAAGCCCCCCATGGCCCAGCGGTGAAAGGTGCCATGATGCACAGGGGGACATTTGCCACTGTGATTGGGGTTCAACCCAGGTGCTGAGGCAGCCTGTGGGCACCTGCTACCATCCTGGGAATTCAGGGTTGGGAGCAAACTTGGGTGTCTGGATCACGGTAGGGTTATCAAGACCCTAATTCATCCACCTTGAGGTGACAGCAACACTCCCGAGGGTCATGGCTGCAGTTACAGGGACTGCTCTTTGCAGGGCCAGCCTAGGACTGGTCACCAGAACCTGCAGGGCGAAGGTTGTTTCTGCGATCCCAGCGCTCAAATCCTGATGCTCCTGAAGCATCTTTCATGGACCTCTCTTGGCTTAGTAGAACGTGAACCTTACGCATCCTACAAGAAACCTTGGCCTTCTCAGGCTGACAAGTAAATAGCGCTGAAATGCAAATGGAGTAGTACCAGGCCCTGACTCACACCCACTGCCTTCGCAGTGCCCAGGACCCTCTGTCCTCACTGGACCAGCTGTTGCAATTCAGGACACAGTCTTACTTCATACACTGCCACCTTCGGAGCCCGTGGCTCCTTTTGAAACCTGGACACCATGACAAGGGTGGCTCCTGATGATGCTGGATCACAGCCAGAGCAGAGGGAGGCACCACAGCATCCACACCTCACTTGGATGAGAGTCCTGCATCTTTGCCGCTATGGCCCCCAACCCCAACAACTCCAGGACAGTCAGGTTTTGCCTGACCGAAACACCCACCCCACAACCTCCTGCTCTACCCCAAACAGCTGCCATGTTACATCCCCAGGATTAGTACATGGGGGGTCATCACCACCCCCGCCACAGCCTCCAAGTCCCCTGCCCCCGCATAGCTCCATCCTTCGTGTGATACCCCCCTCTCCCCATCGTCCCATTCTCCCCCATCGCTCCATTGCGGTCCTCCAGCCCGGCCCGGGACCATTGTCCTCCCGGCGCCCACCCGTTCCCGGCCCCCTTCCCGGCCCTGTTCTCGTCCCCTCCCTCCAGCCCGCCGA